TACAGGCAGAGAATTAATTGATAACTAGATCGTTAGATCTCGAATGGTTGAGAAATATTAAATGTAAATTTATCGAGAAGCGTTTAATAATTTCAATTTTACTTTTTTTTTTCGTTTATTAAATTAAATTAAGTGATTAAGTGATTAATTCATGTTGGAAATTCACAAAATCATTATGTGTCATATAAAGTGGAAACTTTCTACTTTATTTCACTGCCATATTTGATTTGCAAAATTTCCAAAACTATAAAATTAATTTTGTTTACGACCACCTGACATGTACAACCGAACGCTCAGTCACTTAACAGATTATTTAATATAGCCATTAATATTTATGGATTAATTCTAATCTATCTTATATCATGATATATATATATATAATAATATTTTTAACTTTTAGTTGACTAATTTTTTTATTCCTTTCAATTTTCTTACAATTTGCTTCTTTCATTTTATAATTTTCAATTTCAATTCGTTTTTATCGTTGTTTCGTTAAATTATTCGGGCCTGTATTTGCCTATCGGATGATTTATAGGATAAGATCGATAGGATCGATATCTTTGATTTATCCTTTGAAAATGCCCGCACAGTTTCTGTGGTTGAAATAACCGTACAGCAAATATAATTGTCAAAGACAAAGATTTATAAGACTTGCGAAAACGGTAAGTAATTTACGAGGAGGCACGTTTTCCAGATTCTCAATTTAAACGGAAAATGCAGAAGCAACTCGGCCGATTCACGAGTCGAAAGCAAGGATCTTATTGCCTCTTCGAAACTGGTCCTCGAACGAGCGATGAGCAAAATTTAATAGTCAAAGTTACGAATAAAGTTAACTTGGACGAGTTGCCTTCGATAATACGTTGCTCGAAACGTAACAATAATCAGAAATAATCGGAGGGAAAGTTGGATCGAGGTTATGCGAAAAGCGAATCGACTTAGCTGTAACGAATAAACGTTGTTCGAGCATATTTTAACGAAGCGATTGCTTAAGGTAACTTTATTCGAAATTTTTAACCGTTTTACTTTTTCAAGACTCGGCTCGATGCTCGACTCTGCCTCCAACGCGATTATCGCTTCCCCCTCCGACTCCCTCTTAGCCCGTTTTCACGAGAAAAACAACGATTGGCCAGCCGCGCTCTCCAAGGTCAAACACAACGGCTCGTATTCGTTCGCTCGTAATATAAACAATTCCACAGTGCTGCGACAGTAGATGATCCTATAGCATCGATTCAGGTAGTACATTTGTGCAATATTCAGAAAATTACACTTTAACGATAATTCAATTCGATTTAATAATTGTCTTTTTCGCGAATCTTTTATAAGAAAGCAACGTTTACTCGCACGAAATATTGATTATACTCGAGACGTTATAACAAATTCAATTTTCATTATCAAGTATTACAAAAGCATTACAAAAGTTTGAAAGAAAAAAAATTAGATTTAAAAATTTTAAATTATTTTAAAAATTACGAGTCTAGCTTGAAGTTGGTGTAAGAAATATGACGTCGAGCCACACTTGACCTGTACGAGTCCTAAGAGTTAACGAATTGTATCGTTAATAATCAATAATCGGAATAATTCTAATTTTAATTTTCATTTTAATTCGTTCGAAGGTCTCCTATCCTAACGAGCGAAACGAATTTATCGTTGAGAAAGGGATGATAGTTTATCGCATGGCGAAGTTGAAAGCAATCAAAGGTACAAAAGGTTTCAATAACCGGGGCAGGGGGAGGGCTTTTCCGCCAGGTCTGCTCGCGCGTCATCTCCCAAATGGATTTCGCATTGTTGTGCCGGAAGCTGCACGCCACGCTTTATTCCCCTTTTCTCGTCGCCACGTATCAGTCGTACGCCTGACACTGCGATTGTTTCTCCCTACTTCGTTTCTCCCTCGCCTCTCCCTTTCGATCCCATTAATTTGTCGTTGAAATTCAACCGAAGGAAGAATTCTCTTCCCCTTCCTTTATTTTATACGTCAACAAACTTTGGGTTGGCCAAACTCAACTGCGAAACAGAAGAAGAAGAAACGGTATATCTTATTTCAACGGTTGCCTCTCTTTCCTTTTCCGTCTCACTGTTTCACTCTCTCACCAATAAAGATAAGCCTGTTCAAGCTTCTCGACTAAACCGTCGATCGATATTTTTTATTTATTTCGACTCGGTCGGTCAGTTGGGGAATGGAAGAGGAATTCTGAACACGATGATCGACTGATTAAAACAGGCAGTTGTTAGACGTTAAAGATGTTGCATTAATTTAGATGTAATAATATCGTCATGATTCGTCATAATAATTATATAACGAGAATATTATTATTATTATTATTATTATCTCGTCCCACGAAGCTTCATCCTGAAAAAGGAAAAGAACCACTTTCCACCAGTATGATATATCCTTGAGTGGAGCAACGGTTTTAAACGATTTCGTCTTAGAGGGAGGAGGGGGGAGGGGGGAGCGCTCTTTCTCGCTCTTTCTCACGTTCGACAAAAATGGCGCACTCTCCATTATGGTTGATCGTTTCGAGGCGGTGGAGGATGGAGGGGGATGAGGGAAGAGAGGCCAAGCGGATCAAAGGTGCGCTTCCAATCGTCAAATGGATTTCCCTTACACACGGTCGTTGCCTTTTTCCTCTCTCCTTTATTCTCGCATCCAACACTCCGAGGATCTCCGTGAGTTGTTTCTCTTCTCGAACCTGCGTCTTCCTTCCCCTTTAGACAATACGCGCCCGTTCGATACGAATGCTCGTTTATATAAAACACGGAGCGAAAATACTTACAAACACAGTTCGAACAGTGGAAAGCGAATTTTCTCTCTCTCTCTCTCTCTCTCTTTCTTCTTTTTTTAGTAAAGTATATATGAAAAGCTTAGGAATCTATTCGTGAAGCGATATTTTGTGAAAAAAAATTCAAACGTAAATAACGGTTAAAAATATACTTGGATTAGAATTGTCTTGCTTTGTATTTGAATCGTAGGAAGGATATCGGCCATCCTCCTTGGATTGGATCCAATATTTGTATATACAAATTGACGAGAGAGGTAATCGAATATGTTCCGTTCGGGCAATCTTGAAATTCTTTTTAAACGGTCGAATTTTCTCCGCCTCTTTGCAAGGGGGAACGTGTGCATATACGGGTATATATATAACCACGGGTAATCCACTTGTTTGGATTTAATTTACTATTCCGTAACACCGGATAAAACCGGCGATATCGGACACCCGATGCGGTTTTGCGCTATCCTATTAGATTGGTGTTCAACTCCGCTACGAGATTACTACCGTCGATTTATACCCGTATTTCAAATTCTTATCTTTAAATTGCGTATTTAAATATCGAATTTATTGCACGTTGGTTGGTTTTTTTTTTTTTCATCAAAGTCAAATTTTCAAAAATATATATTGCGTCGATAATTACGTAGTCGTAATTTCAATACGAGGATAGATGATCGTCAAAACAATCGATGCGAGCAAATGAATCGCGAGAATAAATCGTTTGTTAAAAAAAAAAGTAATGAATAAAAATAATTGGGATTGGGAATATTTGTTTCATTTATTTTACGCCGCGCCCACTCGATTTTCCAAAATAAAAATATGGTACGTTTGAACTATGAGCTCGTGCTTATTAACTCGTACATTTTAAAAATCAACGTTCAATATCTTATACAGCATCAGATTCAGACACTTTATTTTTAAGTGTAAAGAATTTTTCTTTTTTCAAATGTATATAGCGAGCGTAAGAAAATATCGATTATTTATCGCGCACGCGCGCCGTGTGAAATTGTCACGTTGCCCGAGATCTCGAAAGAATCGAAGTTCTTCCCCCCCCAATTTTAAAAAAAAGAAACGAAGTTTGCAGGTATTCCGGAGGAGAATCGTATTTCGAGCATAAATTTCGATGGGCAGAGCCCCGTGGGAGAAAGGCGGGGGAGGCGTAACAACCGCCCTAACTTGCCGCTCATCGCGTATTCTAGTCAGCAGTTTCGGGAGAGCGAGTGGCGGCCCGATCCGAACCTGGAACTGGGTCAACATTTGCTCGCCAATCTGAGAAAAGAGCGAAATACGACCGCGAGAGAGGAGAAGAGAAAAGCGCCTCCTTCGCTTGTGTCGAACGAGGTGGACGGCCAGATGGCGATTCGAAACCTCTCCTTGCTTTTGATCCCATTTACAGAAATTCTCACCTCCGATTCGATTCGATTCGATCCGATCCGAACCTTTTCTCCTTCTTTTCAATCGTTTTTTCAATCGTAGAAATTACGAGATCGACATTTATTATTAACGAAAGCATTAGCTTGCATCGAACTTGAATCGATTTGTATAAGTATCTATTCAACCGAAACGTTATCGAGATATTAGGTTAGCTTTCGAAGAAGATTCTATCTAAGATTCAAAAATTGGTGCAAATAGGTGAAGCGAAAAAATTGCGCTTGTTAAAGCTAAAGAAACGATAAAAGTCCATTTTCGAATGGAATTGACAACTCGTGACGAGAAACGGATACGCGGATTCAAGAGATAACGAAGAGATAACAGTGGCATCCTACAAGAAATCGATTAAGAAATGATTAGCATTAGTTGAAAATTTGAAATGCTACAAAAATTAGTCGAATACGAAATCTTAATCCATTCACAGTTGTTTTTTAAAAAATAAAATATTCGAGAAGTTGAATTTTGATCGAATTGAGAGATTGCAGGAAAAAACGGCAATTTCATGCGTATACGAGAAAAGTATAACAAAATTTGTTTTCGAAACTGGAATGAAAGACAGGGAAGGGACGATTTGTTTTTCTCCTACTCGTGTCGCAAAATTGCGTACGGAGAAATAGATCGACTTTTCCATCTTCGAATTTCTTCGCCGACGAAGTACGAAAATAAAAAAAGTATTAAAAACGATTCGATTCTTCCCTCGCTTCGCGAAATGAAAGCTTATACGCGAAAAATTAACGCGAGCTTTATAAAAACAGAGATCGAGCGAGGGAGGAGATGATCGTCGAAAAGCGAGAAACTTTTGCTCGACCGGGTTTTTCTTTCCCTCCGTATTTCCATATTTTCAGATTCCATTTTTTCGATTCGAGAGAAATTCGACTCGATGGTTTTCTTCGTAACGTAAACGTTTACCTTTACTTTTGAATTAACGCACGCTCGAAAGAACAACGCAGAATCGGACGACGAAAATATGGAGATTCATGTGTGTGAGAGAGAGAGAGAAAAGAAAGGAAGGAAGAAAAGAGAATGAGAATAATATTGTACGCGTTTTTTGTACTACACTCGTTCGACGCATCGCTTCGCCTCGTTCACGCGACGGATGAGGAGGGAACGACGTTGGCCGGGGTGGAGAAGAGGGAGGAGAGGGAGGAGGAGGAGGCGGAGATGGACATGGAGGAGGTGGGGATGACGGAAGAGGTTATGGATCCGAAAATAAAGATAACCGATGTGCCCGACGTGGAAGAGACAACCGAGGAGTTCGACCCGAGTTGGGACAAGAACAAGGTTATACGGGACGTCGCCTATTACATTCGTGGCCACAAATTTGGCGATTTCGATCGTCGTTACTACAAGAGGTACGAGGACGCGGTGAGCAAACCGTACGAGGAATTCCCCAAGCCGGCTCTCAGATCTCTGCATTGGGAGGTGCACAGGTTGTTGGACAATTAATAATGGATTTATCGATCGAATTCGACGATCATTTCGAGAATTCCAAAATTAGCAATGAAAATTCAACTTTTTTTTTATTCGATGAAATAGGTGGAAATTTGGAAATAAGGTTATTAGATGAATTGTTTGTGCGTGTCTCCTTCGATTCGTCGTCGATTGTTCACATCACGTTTGTTCCCTGAAATTATTTATACAGTTTGAAATGGCGTTAAACGATAACCACCCGACACGATTCTCCACCGATTCCTCATCGCTGTGTAATTGATACGATGAAACGAAATGTTGTATCCTATATACCACGTTAATTGATACGTATCGAGGCAAAGTGAATTATTTTTTTAAAAACGTTTCCACCCTCGACAACTACTCGCTATCAATTTATATACGTTGGAACGATGCGCAACTTAAAAAAAAAAAGAAAAAATCAATTGATCAGTGGTTAACCGATATTTTAATTGTGATTCGATTCCGGTTTCGATTTCCGTCGGATAAACCGGTTTAAAAAATATCCGCCCGCGAAAGATCGGTCGAAATGTATCCGAATTAACCGCGAGTGGAAAAAAATAAATAAATAAAACGGAGGAATTTTCGCGAGACAACAGGTACTGCGATGCGAGTTTCCTCGAGTGTCTGAGATATCTGGAGGGCGTCATCGAGCAGACCGCGCTGAAACGGCAGGACGACACCATCACCGCTATAAATGAACAGAAATGGGTTCTACCCGACAATATGCAGCAGATACTGTCCGTTCAAAAGGAATGTCTAAACGCGATGGAGCGTGACAAAAAAGTGATGCCGCCGTTCGAAGGTCCGATAGGCAAGTAAGACGTCTTTTCGTTTTAAAAAGTAGAATGGAAGAAAGATTAACCGATAAGAATTTTCTTTTTAAAATGAATTTTTTTTTCCTTCTTTCTTTCTTTTAAGCGAAGTTCTTTCTCTACGAGAAAGATTTCAATTTTCACTTCAAAAAAAAAAAAAAATATTTAACGTTTGGAAAGTAGGGCATTGAGAACCTCTTTGAAAATTTCGAATAAAGTTGCTCGATATTTATTCGTAACTATTATTACACGTTTTGAACGATCAAATTAATTTTATTCGTAAATTAATTACAATACACCATTGATACCAACTGTCGATAATAGATGATCGCGAATAAGAATTAGAAGAGAGAGAGAGAGAAAAAAAATATTCTGACTTCAGAACGATTTCAGTGGCGCACCACGGTGAGTTATTACATGTGCTGGTACACGATGCTCGGCGTTCCAGAGCTGAGCATTTTCGGGGAGCCGTGTGACAATCACGCGAACTGCGAGATCCGGCCGACGGGGGACCCGAGGGCCGATGACACGGAACCGTATGCCTGCGCCCTTTACAGCTTCTGCCCAGATCATTGTTGTCCCATGAAACGTATCGGGGATATGACGGATTGCCACCAGTCGGAGGCCAACCCCTGTTACGCTGGGAACGAGCCAGGTGCGTAGAAATCTCGTAAGAGGATTGCCCGCTTCCCGCCTCTAATTTTCTCCCCCGCAATTTTCCAAGATATCGAGGGACAATTGGCGCAACACTGTTCACTGCCTCTTCTTTAACGATCTCTTTCGTTATATCTTTTATTATTGGCAGAAATGAGAAGAAGATAAATTTCTCTTCGTTATTTTTTTAAATTTCAATTTTTTGTTTATCCCAAACGAAGGAGAATTATTTACATTTATCATTCCGTACGTCGAATATTTCGCACGAGTTGTAATATAAGACACTTTACGTTTGAATTACGTAAACTTTTGAACAGAAATTTCTCTTGAAACTTTTTTTCTATTATTATCGTTTGCGCCGATCTTAGAAGATTTTTGAGGTTACAATCGACGCTTATAATTTTCGACACATTTCAGCTTGGCTGGTGGAACCACCATCCATTTCCAATTTGAGGAATTTTTCTAATATCGCGAGTCAGCCACTGACCGCGATATTATTGGTTTATTATCGCGCCAAACTTGAACCAGGAAAGGATTTCTGAGGCCTTCTCGCTTGGAAGGAGAGTCTCATTGGGAACAAGTCGTGCTCTGACACGATTACCTGCTGTGACATTGTGAGAGACTCGACTCTCGCACTAATATGGTCCACTTATCGTGAAGAAAAATATCACACACACACACACACACACACACACACACACACACACACACACACACACACACACACACACACACACACACACACACACACACACACACACACACACACACACACACACACACACACACACACACACACACACACACACACACACACACACACAC